GACTCATAACTCAAACATATCATCCCATGTGCTGAAAGCAGCTTTGGCACTATTCTTGTCATCTGTTTGACTTGCCAGAATCCAGAGGGTAGGTCAAGAAGACAGTGTGTTTCATGCATTAGTTCAACAATCACAATACATGGCACTGACACACTATCTGGTCTGTAATAAGCCACAGCACACCACTTGTATACATAATTATATTGTTGTACCTTCCACAAAGTACACATAAGTGGCCCACTGTTCCTGGCTTGGTTATGACAAGAGCTGGATGGATTACCTGCCAAAACTCAATTCACCTGTTCCACAGGCAAAGGCACCAGAAAGCTTCTGTAATATCCACAACAACTATGTTATTGCCATACCCAAGGGTCACAACTACAATCTTCATCCTACAATTCATGTGGCCTAGGTGCAGTTAGATACGTGCCTCTCCATTCACATCTGGTCTGACACCATTTGCCAGAGTGGCAATTTTACTCTAAGTGACTGATACATGGCAGTATCCACCATGGTTTATGCAGCTCCACTAGGAACTCGACTGCCTCACTGTGCATTTGTTCAGGCACATACATAGAATCGATTACAAGACTTGACTCAAGCTCTATTAGTATTCTGGAGCTTGAGCAACAGCTGCATTTACCCCCCCCCCCTGCTTGTTGTGCAATTGTTTTTGGAAGGAGGAATCTATCTATCTTACTACCCAATAAGATACAGACACTTTGTCTAGGAATACTCCTGCAACCCACAACAGTGACAAATGATTGGGTCCTCACTTTAAAACTTATGGCCAGAGGAAGGTACTGGTTGCAGTTGCTGTGACACAAACATCAAAAAAGGATCTCAGTACCCCTGACTGATAGCTGAGTACCAACCTATTTGTGTCACAATACCTTGCAGAGTCGTGTGTAACTAAATTCTTTGCAGAGGACGAGCTTGACAGGAAGTACCAGACAAGTCATACTCGGGACTACTATAATGGCTTCTGTCAGTTTTCTCCTTTCCACCTCAAATCTCATCACCACAGATACCACCTAATTTACATGGGAACACATACTATGCTTAGAGGGATGTCCATGTGAAACTATAAGGCATCACTAGGGGTATGAAGATCTCATACCCCAAGTGATTCCTTATAGTTTCACATGGACATCCCTCTGAGCACAGTATGTGTTCCCATATAAATGGCCAAATGATCAGTGAAGGTGTCCAAATTCTTAGAAGAGCCTCTATTTATGATCCTTAAATTCAGCCCAGTGGATAGCCTGGTTCTCCACCAAGTCAAAACATCAGTGCAACTTGGCCACAACAGTCCCAGTCAACCATCTACTCCACCATTACTGAGTGCTGAATTATCTAGACTCAGGATTAGGCATTGCACTTCCTGCTTCTGAGACCAATGGTTCTAGGCAATCAACTGTCAGAACCTTCTTAAGAATCATTCCACGTCTTCCTTTGCTGTTCTCTTAAAGATTGGAAACGTAATCTGCTTTGCCTCTATCATGGGCACACATATTCTTGATACATATCTCGCACTACAGGTTCATAATTCATCTCAGATGCAACAGGCCATCAAGTTATAAAGATCAAATGTCTGCTCTCAATGTTGGGGTCACTGAATGATTAGACAATATCTCTTCCATGGGTCCTACAACTATAGCCTGTCGGTGGCTCAGCAACTCAATCTTTCTTCTGAGAGAGGGTCTTTCCTGCCCCACCTTTCTCTCTCATTACTTGTGAGCACTCGCTGCATCACCATTTGCTGATACAATTCGTGTTGATGAAATTCATCCAACAATGGTACCTTACTTTTAGCTCTCAGGGTGAGCGAGTGCCTCTCTTCATAGAGATATTCCTTTCTATTCCATCAATTGCTGCCGTCATTGACAAGTGCTTCTTGTCTTATCTGATGAAGATACACATGCTGTTTTTGGTTGCCATCCACCAGTGACCTCTTTCACCCAACTCTCAGTGGCTATTTACTTCTTTTCATGGAGAAGTTCTGCAACTTGCACCTGATTATCATTTACGAGTGCTCGTTATCACATATACTGTCCAATAATGACACCTTGCTCTCAATCTTGTTAGAACTGGATGCCCCTTTCATGGAGAAGCTTACTACTATCCCATCCATCGTCGATCTCTTGTATGAGGGCTCGCCATCATGTCTATTGGTGAAACAGTGCTTGTAGGTGAAACTCATTCAACAAGGGTATTTTGTGGTTTGACCTCGGCTTGGCTACATGCTTCACGTCATAGAATGGCTTCTTGATAAACCAGCAAGTATCAGTTCTGTCAGTGAGACCCTGCTGTCTCCCCTGCTGGGAAAACAGTCCATGTTGGTGAAGCTCGTCCCACTGGCACTTCTCCTCTTTAGTCCTGTGGGTGGAATCAACCAGAGACGAGGTTCTGCTTTCTGGTTGAAGTACCTATATGGGTCATAAAGACCTATCAATTCACTCTTGGACACCCTAGCCCGCCTACCTCTCCGACAATCCTCAGTCATCCTCGGGGAATAACTTCACCAGGCCTTCTGGTTGCACCTGATAGTTTTCCTTCCCCATCTTGTTCTACCTGTACTACAACAAACAAGCAAAAAACGGTTTAAAACTAAAAGCAAAGTTAATGCATTTGCTATGATACAATTTTGGCTTTGAGTTCTAATTCTTTAGAGTTAATTCAAAATATCATCAATTGTGATTTATGAATAGCAGTTAATTGGTTTGTTGAAAAAATTATATATTAATACTTCAAAAACAATGATATTCTTACGTCAGCGGAAGTCACGTGACACTGGTAATATGTCATGAGTTTCTAGGAGGAACATGCCTTTTCTTGGCAACTCTAGTCTTTTCCAGGCGCCCTCTATTTTAATATATAAGCCCAGCAAATAAAGCGGAGATGATAACAGATTGAAGAGAGATATAGAGACAGATAATTGAGTCAAGTGAGCGGTAGTGACAGTAAGTAATTGCATGAATCGTTGTGAATTATAGCGTGTGTTTAAGTTAAAGTGACTGTGGAAATTATGTGTATTGCAAAGTTGTATTGAGAAAGAATAAACTAGTTTTATTTAAAGAAAGGACTTGTATTGCTGAAGTTCCTCTGGGAGAAGTTATACCGGAAATTAACAAATGAACAGAGATGCAACAATATCATAAATTGAAAAATAAGTTTTCTACAAAACGGGGATATCTTTATCTATATATACAAAAAACGATGTGCAAATAACGTACACTTTTGGATAATAGCCAATTCATAATAACTGAATTTGTGAACAGTATGTGAAAGGTTTGGTACATAAAAGTAAGCTTTATGTTGTATAAGATTTTATTATAAGATACTGTTACGTCTCCGTTTGTTAATTAATTTTCCGTAACTTCGTTCCGACGAAACTTTAGCGACACAAGTCCTTACTTAATAAAACTGGTTTATTCTTTCCGAATATAACATTACGATACACTTAATTTCAAAATTCGCGCTAAAACAAACGCTATAACGAACGTTAGCTTCAACAATACTCCCTGACTGCAGATCAATTACTCACTACCTACCCAATGTCCAGCCACGCTGTCACCATCCTATATATACCAGCCTACCCCCAATCTAGAAGGTTCAAGAAAGAAGTGGCGTGACACTAGTCACGTGACCTTGCTGACGCAACAATACTTAGATTTAGACATTGATGATAACTTAAGTTGTAAATAGTATGTGAAAGGTTTAGTAGGTAAAAGTAAGATTTATGTTATATAAGATTTGTTATTTAAACATACAGTATTTCTAGATTGAAAATATTTATAACAATTGAACTTTCATTGACACAACGTATTACAGTGTGGAATTTTGAGTTAGGACAAACATAATCAACCCATTTCAATTAATAGTATCTTGGCAAAATAAGATTATAAAATAAAAAACATATCTCAAATAAAAACAAACATGGCGCAAATTTAACAAGTAAATTTTACTGAATATTTTGTTTGAAATATTTGTACGCTTATAAATTATTAATATTTGTAAAACAATAAAAAATATTATGTACAGGCTAAAATTGGTGCTTATTTAAGTAGAATGCAAGGATTATGGTACTTAGTTCCTGTACTTAAAAATCAGATAATGCGAAAACATTATTATTATTTACCTCCAAAACTTTGTAATGGTTTATTAATAAATTTAAAAAATAAAAATGATACAATCAAATTTAAAGTAATACTAAAAGAATATTTATACGGTTGTAAGGAAACAGCAGATTTATATATTCTATTGAAATAAGTATGCATATTGTATGCCATATACAAAATTTAAATTTAAAATAAGTATTAGTTTCATTATTAAGTTTATTTTTAACTTAGTCGAGAACTAATGTTTCTAGATTATTCATATTTTTATTCTAAATTCTATATAATACTTTATAAAATGAGATATTTTGTTGTTGTGAGAAAAAAAAAGTTCAGTTATCACTTATCTCTTTTTTATGTGGTTGAAAAACCTGTTTCATTCTTTAAATCGGTAATTAGAAATTAATACCATTTACAAGAGATATTACGTAATCATCTATGTCTCCCTGAAAATAGAAAACGTAACCATAACTTTAGTTATATTTAGTTCAAGAGAAGTCCATCATTGGCACAGTTGCAAGTTTGCTGGGTTATAACACTAAAAGCCTGTTTTCAATACCTATGGTAGGCATAACACAGATATCCCATTTACGCTTAACAGCTAACAATTGTAAAAAATCGACAAGAACGAGAATGTAGCTCGATTACTTAAAAACTATTAACTATCAGTATATAAATAGGAGTAGTGATGTTGATTTTTCGAACAGTTTGACTATTAGTCTAATATGATTAATAGTACGACTATAAATAAATGCAAAAATCTGTGTGGTTATCACCCTTATTTACTGAAACTGGAAAATATTTAATATTGCTTTACTTAATGCGTTCATACTATGTTTTCCGCGAGATGGAGTTGGCAATAGTTTGACTATGCGGTGAAAATCTGGTAAATGCAGAAAGTCTTATGTAATACTAATAATCAGTAAAACTTTAACTAAATGTGTAGACTCTACGTGAACTATGTTTTATATCTGCCTAATTAACATCTGTATTTAGTTTTATTTAGCTATTTTAAACTACTACTGGTATTTATCTACGATTACTTTTTATTTAAATGATGAGACTTATCGAGTGTCTAGTTTTGTTAGTTGTCTTCTCTCGTGCTGATTTCTTACGTGTGAAAGGAACATGGGACACGAACAACTTTTTTCATTTCCTTTCTAAGTTTGGGTTTCAGAAAACTAATCTTCACGATCGTGCTAACTCATTAGGTTACATTTATGGAAATATATCAACTGGTATTAATAATGCTTCGAACTATTCTGGCAATAGCTATGCAACACTTGTGGTAGTCGATAAACAATTTTTTATAGAGTATTATGGAAATAGGAGCCTGTCCAATAAAACTGAAGCATGCCAAAAGATGTTTCAAAAGATTAATACAATTGCATATGACAGTGAATGTAATGATGTTGGGTCTGAAGATTTTCTACGCCATATTCCGTGCCCCAAGGACAAGCTATGTGAGGAAGAAGATGTTGCAGAACGTGTGGTCCCAGGTCATCAACTCACTTATGCAGTTCAGAACAGCAATCAACCAAGGTAAATATTCATCATAACTTTTATCTTTATTAGACTTCACAAACTTAAATAAACTGGTCAGTCTTTGTCTTGTTACACAAGTTCTTTGGTGTTTATTATAATTTACAAATTACAGTGATTTGTGTAATTGAAAAAGAATAAACTTAGAATTATACATGTAACTTATCAAAATAACTTGTTAGTCATCTAGATTTAAGTTATTAAAGCTTAACTTAATTAAATCTTATTCATTCATTCAAGATTATTTTTTTCTGAAAATTGCATAAAATATTAAAAACCTTGAAAGTAAGATTTTAAGTTTATTATTGGAATAGTAGAACACGTCGAAATTTGACAAAATACACTCAATTCACATGCTCGTCAAACCACACAAAATTAATTGTTTGGCCACTGAGCTATACTATGAATACTCACCAGAGGCCACTTTCAAAAGTTTTGATTCATAATCCCTGTTTATCCACTTGTTAACAGCAAAATGACTTTATAATACCTCTTCTTTAAACATGTGACTTAATTATTTATGTTTTGCAGTTGTTAACAGAATTCTATTTGACACTGAAATAAAAACAAAGCATGTTCAGACATGCTTATTGTATGTAAATTTTCATTAGAATATAAGTGTAGCATTTTCATATTAGCATAAAACAACATAAACAATATCCTAAAAATTGGCTTTTAAAAAATCATTTTGTTGCTAAAGCATTAAATGGAAAAATTATGACACATGCACACAGAAATTAAAATCCATCTATAAGAGTTGCTTTTAGTAGGCTTTACACTTATACATATATTTGTTTTTGCATATTTTTTTCTTTATATTCATACACAATGCACAAACAGACATCTGTTTTCCAAGATTATATTATTGTGCTAGTAGAATGTGTCAAAACTTGACAAAATATATAGAATTGTGGTATTTCAAACCATGGGTTAAAACTAAGTACTATCAAATTCATACTGGAAAAAAAAAAGTTCATTGCAAATCTTCCTGTAAACAACATTTTCCATATTTGCACCTTCAGTGACATGAATTTTTAACTGATCAAGTGACCGTATCCTGGATAAAGCTACATAAATCTGAATATGACAAACAATTGGCTCAGCTATGTGCAACCCACAATGGATATCTGTCCACTTTCTCAAAAGGTATTATTGTGTAAGATATCTGGTCTCATAACTAATGTATATTGTTAGTGGGCTTGTCAAACATAAGCAAAATTGGTATGGTTGCAAAGGCAAAATATTTGTGATTTTCTTAGATTGGTGTTTGAAGTGTTTTGGCTTTAGAAGAACAATGTTTTTTAAATTTTAAGATATTAATTTCTCAAACTCCTATCTTTTCATTTGTCTAATTTTATGCAAGAAGTCATTTTGAAATAAATTTCTTATAGTATTTGCTTATGGTAAGAAAACTTTTTATTGATTAAGTTAAAAAAATGAAGTTAGAGGTATATTGGCCTTTGGAATGGGTTGTCTTCAGATGTTGTGGATGCATTTAATTTAAGGGAGTTTAATGGAAAACTTGATAAATATTTTAATGATAAGGGTTGACTTTGAGTGTTTTATTTTTAGTTTAAAGTTTAGTTTGATTGATGGAATGGCCTAGATGGACCAATAAATCCCTTGTTTCTTAAATTATATGTATATAACTATGTATTTTTAGTCAAAGGAGATAATGATAGTGACTAACAGTGAGCACAGATACTATCCAAGAAAAGTTTTTTAATTGTTGTTTTCACTAATTTAATTTTTGTGGAAACATGGATTCAAAAAAATTCTGAAGATATATATATATATATATATATCCAAAATATGAAATTCACAGTATTTTTTAATGGCCACTTTAGATACTTTTGACTTAGTTTGATTCATAAGTTTGCTCTCAGAAAAGTTGCATCTGTTAACACTTTATTGTGTTTCGAAAAATTCTGCAAGTTTTTTACAATGAGCTACAACAAATGAGTGATCAAGTTTCTCTATGATCCAAGTTTCTTTGAATAATTTCACAGGATTAAGAATTGTGGTATTTTTAAATAATGAACAACACTAATATTACCTCCCCCAGCTAGATATAGCATTTCACATCCAAACAGCAATAAGACAAACCATTCCAGAAATTTATAACCCTACCAGAGTTGTAGGTTTGCCTTAGCCAAAGATCTGTATCACAAATAGTTATATTTAAAACTGCACAGTTAGTTTATACAGTATATGAGAAATCTCATGTACTGCTGTTTTAGATCATCTTGTGCTTTTAATATTTTATTGTTGTTAAGACAGAGAATAATGTGTGCAGCATTTAATCCTGATAATTTATTTAATTCATATAATGATCATTACTGTATGAAAGCTCTGTATTCAATGCCTCATCAGGTCAGATAGTTTTATTTTATTTCAGCTGGTACTTTGATATTTATCTCACTAAAAAGTATTATGCTTATATCAATGTTCTTTCAATTTACAAAAACAAAATGCTGTGGGTAAGAGGATCATGAAACTTAAATATTTTATGATATACTTGTTTGAAAATAACTTTTTCCTTATTTGCTAATTTATTATAAAGTATTTCTCAAAAGAATATACAGCTGTAAACTAGAGTTGAAGTAATTGGAAAATATAGACAATAAAATTTCCTTATCCAAAAGACATTGAAAGCTGTTTCATTTTGGAGTTTACTGTATGTTTCACTTGATACTATTATACTATATTCATGAGTCCCTATATGATTGTAAGTTCATAAATAAATTTACAGAAATGTAAGACCTATGCAAAAAAAAAAAAGGCTTGCAAATGGAATTTAGGAGTTTTATATTAATGTGAAAAATCTCTGGAGAGAAATTCTGGATTAATTCATCTATTCCTTTTAACTAAATGGCTATTTAAACCTAAAATTACTGAAATGTTTGTGTACTATTCACTACTCATTTCACCCACATACTGATTAAATTGTTACTCAGTATAATAAGAGCAAGGTAATGCATTTGGGTTACCATAATTTGGATCCCATATGTAGTATATATGAGGATGCACTTAATAGTGTAATTGAAGAAAAGGATCATGGCATGTTGGTGAATTAGTCTGTCAAATTATTAGGCATTGCTATATATTGCTAGTAGTAATGCTGAAAGAATTTTAGGATGTATTTGTAGACATTTATTACAATTTCTCTCGATATATAAATTGCTAGGAAGGCGTCACTTGGAATACAGTGTTATTTGGGTCTCCTTATCTAAGAAAAGATAATGACTTATTGGAAAGGGCTCCTAGGATAACTCTGAGGCTGGAAAGATTATTTTAGAGATAGGTTAAGATCTCTTAACCTCTTTTGTAAAAAGAAGTGTGAGAGATGTTCTTATTGAAGTTTACAAGATTATGTAGGGAATCGATTGGATAAAGGCCTGTAAAGATACTACACAAGTTTAAAGTTTAGAAAGAACCGGTTAGGCTCCAGTTGAAACACTTGTTTTTCTGAAAGGGTGTTTGGCATATGGAATGTGATTATGTTGACAGTAGTGGAGGGAAGCACTTAACAAGAGTTTAAAGAGTGGGCTTAAGTTTTTATTTTTCTTAATAGTGGATGAACAAGGACAGCTCTGAATGACAAAATGGTCCCTTGTTGAGTGCATGTTATGTTAATTTTAAGTTTTTACCTGTTATAATGGTTTAAAAAACTGGCCAAAACAATTGGGTAAGATATATCATTTTCCATGTTACATAAGGGACTCCAACAGTAACTGATGAGGTTAATTGTATTATTGATAGTAATTTTGTTTACTTTTACATTAGGTATCCTATAAACAATAAAGTCATGGATCCACAAACTATTTGTTGCTCAAATAGTTTAGAAAAAATGCATTTAAAAGGCCATTAGAGTCCTATTTAATTAATAATATAATTTTTTAATTTACAGCTTGTAGAATTAGAAAGTTAGTTTACACTTGTATTTCTTTACATGTGAAGTATTTCATACCTTGTGATAGCTTCATTTATAAAGCAGCTCTTAATTTTTTAAAAACTGTGATATAAATTTAATTTGTGGAGATTTTATTGCAGGTTATCAAAATTAACTGTTTAAGTTTCTTCATTTCTTCATTGTTCTGTGTTTTCTGGTGTTAGATGAAAGTGCTGGAAATTTTTTTTTTATATGTATATTTGTTAGTAGAGCTTAGCAACAAGTGAAATTAGCTAATCAATTAATCATCAAGCTTGTTATCTGATTTAATTCAACTAATTGATTATTCTCATGAGAGGATTTAAAAAAATATTCATTATTGCAATGAGTTGACTAAAAACAACATATAACAGTACACATTAAGTGTGACTTTGTGCTTAAGAACAAAAAAATAATGACACTAATTTCACTTACTTGGATAGTTGGAATACTCAAACATAATAATAATTGAAAGCCCTAATTTCAGTTAGAGGATTATTTTTGTGAGTTGTGACACTGATAGATTAACATGAACATACTTGAATTAATCAAAAATAATAATTAAAAATCATAATGGCAATATTTAGATTACTGAATAGTTGGAATAATCAAAAACAGTAATAATTGATAGCACTAATTTCAGTTACTTGATTATGTTCATGACATTAATCGATTTAATTGTAAACAGTAATAATCAGAAACACTAGTTGATTATGTTAATGATATTAATCAAACGTAATTGAGTTAATTGCTCATCTCTATACACAAGTAGTAATGATACTGGAGTTACTTTATTGTCTGTACATATTTTTTTATGACCAACTTTCATAGGTTTTGGTATGTTAGCCTTGTGGCTTGTCACAGAACGCCAAATGTCTGCGATTGGAGAGAATCAACGCAAGACAGTAGAGCTGCTATGGAATATGATGTGTGGCTTGTTAATGGAAACCCTTTCATTTCAAACAGAAATCCACTTGAATACCAATTCTCTTTTGATCAACAGGTTTGCTATCATATGTCTTTTAGATCTTGACAGTTTCATAGCTTATACATGCTAAGGGGTGTAATGTAGTTTATATTGATTACCAAATGTTTTAAACTACCAAAAAAAAGTTGCATGTTATTGAAATAAATGAGCATCCAACTTGTATATTAATATTTCTTTCTTGAAAGCATTTGGTTTATTATACAGAGCCCAGGAAGGAACATACAGGAGAAAAATATTATATTGTGTGCACCACAAATTATCTTTTGCACACATTTTATTATCTGATGCTTACGAGATACATCAAATACACAACTTATTATCTCATGCTCATGAAATATGTCAAATACACAACTTATTATCTCATGCTCACAAGATATATTGAATACACAATTTATCATCTCATGCTCACAAGACATATCGACTACACAACTTATTATCTCATGCTCATGAGATATATCAAATACACAACTTATTATCTCATGCTCATGAGATATATCGACTACACAACTTATTATCTCATGCTCACAAGATATATCGATTACACAACTTATTATCTCATGCTCATGAAATATGTCAAATACACAACTTATTATCTCATGCTCATGAGATATATTGAATACACAATTTATCATCTCATGCTCACAAGATATATCGACTACATAACTTATTATCTCATGCTCATGAGATAATACCAAACACTGTGTTGCAACAGAAGAAGAACTTTGGAAATATATACCCAGTTTGACACAGATTTTCAATGAATTCTCTGATGAAGATATCAGTGTGGAAATTGGACAACTTCGGAGGCACTTGGAAGCTGCCAAAATCAGCCTTGCAGAGGCAAAGAAATGGACAGCATTACAGTTTCTGGAGTTTATTGTGAAATGGGATTTTGCGGATCTCTGCCAAGCTTATCACTGTGCTTCAAATTCTTTTTGATTGTCTGTGTGTCTATTGCTTCATGTGAAAGATGTTTTTTGAAATTGATAAAAAAAATTTCTTTCACTCGACCATGAGTCAGACAAGATTGACAAATCTGGCTTTACTTTCAATTGAACATGAATATGCAAAGAAGGTGAATTCTGATAAGGTCATTGATCAATTTGCTGAAATTAAGGCTCAAAAGCAGTGACTGTAAATCCTCTCTATTTACCTTTGAATAATAGGCTTAGCATTGAGACTAGATTTCCGTTGTTTTTTTGTATAAAATAAAATGCGGTATTACCTGTTCACTGAATTTTTAATGTCCTGCATTTTTCTTATTTCCAATTTGCTTATGACAGTACCATACTGTTTAAAAATCTACTTGCAAACATAATATATTTTTATGTGTGTTTAAATTTTAAAATTATTTATGAGGGGGGTACCAAAGGAAGGGTCTGCTCCAGGTGCCAAATATTTTAGGTACGCCCCTGGTGCTAAATATAGTATCTTATGAGCATGAAATATTTTTCTCTTTCATGTCCACTTCCAGCCTCTGTGGGTACATTTTATAAACTTTTTTGTAACAAATGTACTATTCTTACAACTTATCAAACATAAGGATTTCATTTTTAATTTTAAAAGTTGTTTTATTAATATTTATCAGTCTTGAGTTGCTTGATGCTGTTTGCTTGCTTCAGGATATAACAGAAATGAATATGGGTTTTTTCACACTTTACCTGATACTTGTGCCACTGCAAGTGTATGCTGTTGTTCGTCAACACCATCACCTCACCAGGCTTTTCACTGCTTCACTTGTTCTCCAGATGTTATCTCTTTTCTCCACGCTCATCCACATGATCAAGTTTGCATTTGATGGAATGGGGATAGAGGCTTTATCTATAGCAGGAGAGGTTGTCAGGTTGTTTGCTCAGGTAATGAAAAGCAATCTAAGTGACATTTAAAGAAAACAGCATTTTTATTAAAAGATCTCTAGTATTAGTTATAAAAACAATGAAGGTCTTCTTAACACTTAAACTTATTCATGCTTTTATGTTCTGTCAAAAATGAAAGACCGGTATTTTTGCAAATTTAGGTTATATTTCAAATATTAATTTAAAGCTGTTATGCATTCTAATTTATTGTACTAATCTAGGAAAACACTCATAAATAATTTATTTGTGTAAAAATTGTTTTATTTTGATTATACAATTTTTCTTTTGTTTCGCCAGTTTATAGTCAAGTGAAATATTTTAAATTTCAAATAGCTTTATGGGCTTATTATGAATCCTGTAAAAACTCTCAGTAGGTAGAGATGTTTCTTAAAATGCATACAGAAATATTAGTAAAATGTGAAATTAGTTTTCCTATACAGTACCCGGTACCTTACTCAGTCTCACATAATACCTAGTCTCCTTCAGTGCTGCCAGCTATATGCAAAATATTTTTTGCATACCACAAGCCTTGAAACTCCCACTTATCCCATTATTAACTTGATTCACTGCATCTTCACATGTAAATCATTGTGACAACTCTTCACCAATGGGAGTGCGACACACACTCCTGATGCACTTGGCTCCCTCTATTTGATTCTACCTATCACTTCTCCTTAGGCAGTTGTCTAGTACAGACATTTTGAAAATGTGCTCATTTCATGTGATAATTTATTTTCTTTTTGCAAAGTAGTGCTTTACCATTTCTACTAATTTTTCACTGTTGTATTTGGCCAAATCAACTTACCTTGGTTTGTCATTTTTTTCAACTTTTTTGACTTGTTCACAGTCAATGAGTTCGGAATTTCGTGTTATTACTTCAGCTTCTATTCCTACTACTTCGAGTATCATTACACAGGCTTCAGGTCAGGGGTCTCGGTTGAGGATTTTTTGGCCATCATTTGTTGAGATATTTATCTTTACAGGAGTCAACCCTCCTCTTTTGACAATGTTTAGTTGGAGAATCTATTCATGACAAGGAGGATTTTGAAAGCCTTTTTCCACCTCCTTGCCTATGCCGTACACTCCTGAGGAATCAGCCAGGCTTCCCTCATCCTTTTTGGACATGATTTATCAGGTTTGTTACATTTTATCTCTCTCTCCCCAGTTTCATATTATCCTGCCCCATTGCCCAATTACCTGGTCTTCCCTCCTTCTCCTGATATCAGAGTACATGCTGAGCATTTCATTTCTCAATTGAGTGCTGGAACCAGCATACCTAATCCATCATGGGCTTTGATCATTATGCATTGGCTTATAATCAGGCCAATCATCTTTCTCTTGACTCGAAAAAACTGGAGTCACTTTTGTCCGGGGGGGGGCAGTCCCTGATAATCTTGTCCAGTTTTTCTGACTTCATCTTACCCTTACATCTCTCCTATGGTATCTTTCCCACACACACCTTGCTGGGGCTCTCTACCATTCCCCTAAGGGGTTTTTGGAGGATAAACATTCCCTCATTATCTCCACATTGGTGTGATTATCCTCTTCTGCCCTTTCCCTTCACATGTGGTTTCTTTACTGTTGGGATCTACTTAGTATGGATGCTGTCTTGTCTCTGGTTCATCTACCTTCCACATATCTTTGTGACCTAAGGATGGCTCCACATCTCCAAAGGTCTGTTTGTGAATATATTCCTAAATCTTTGGAGTTTCGTGTGGAATCTGAAAGGCAACACTCAACTCTTTTTTTCGTTGGCTGGTTGTTTGTATCAACCAGCTCCCATACCATATTCTCTACCTGTTCTGTACCCTCCCATCCTTTGCCTGTTCCTTCTTCCAGGGGTATGTCAGTTTGTCATTTGGCTTACTGTCATGCTCCTTGCCACTAATAGTTCTGGTGACTATCAGGTGGTTCCCAGCCCATTAGGGGTGCTTATTTCCAATTTTGTTCAACCGTGACAGGAGTTCACTCCTGATCTGTGGGTGATCAGATTTTTTTTAGATAGACTTTTTCTTCATTTCTTCTCCTCTCCTTCTTTGTCTCCCTTCCCAACATCCTTCTAATTGGGATCCTGCTACCAGTCAGCATCTATCTGAGGCTGTTCAGACTTCCCTCACAGTGTGCTATTGAGCTTGTCAGCCAGCCTTCCCCAAGCTTTTTGTCTTTCCCTAAAAAGACTGGGAACTAGTATCCTCTGATTGATCTGTCCCACCTCAACCATTTTCTGGATCTACCTCACTTTACCGTGGAATACTTTCTCACCCTTCCATGGTCTTTGTTTCCTGGTCTATGGATGACCAAGGTGGATGTCCCGAATTTTTTCCTCCATATTCCCATTTCTCATCAGTCTCGATGCTATCTTCAGTTTGTCCACAACAGGGTTGTATTCCAGTTTCACAGTTTACCTTTCAGGCTTGCTTCAGCACTGTATGTGTTTTGTTGAGTGGTCAAAGCCTTTTCTCGACTTGTGCATGCTCAAATATTGCACTTCCACCATTAGATGAATGATTTGTTTCTGTTAGCTTTTCCAAACTGGTGTCTTCTCAACACATCTGCTATTGACAGAAGCAGCTCATGTTGGTTGGATTCCTACCCAATATCTTGTCCACTTTGGTGTGTTTTTCAACACTTACCTCAGTCTGACCCAATCTTCTCCACTTTGTCTGCATTTGAGGGAGATTTCACTTCTCTACACCCTTTCTTCTCCCTATCTTTCTGCATGCAAGGTTCTATCACTTTTGGGGCTTGGGCTTCCATGGAAGCTCTTATCCCCTTGGATCACGCACAAATACATTCTCTTAAGTGGATGTTGTGCAACCAGTGGAATCTTACTTGGGATCCATTGGACTCCCCAATTAATCATCCTCCTTCCCTTCTCAAAGATCTCTATTGGTGATTGAACAAGGATAACATTATGGAGAGGGTCCTGCTTGCTCCTCCATTGTTGTCCATTGGAGGAAATTCTTCACTAGGGCATGTTGGCAACACTTCATACATTTGATCTCCCACTACCTTCATCAGGTGGCTGTTTCTTTTTCATTTAATTATCCTTTTCTATATATTACTTTTGCTTACAATGGCATGTCCCTTTTAGATCTAGGATCCCACTCTGTGGCAAGTGTTGCCCGTCCAGGTATGCTATTTCTCTATTCATTTCAAAAATCCACATTGTATGGCCAACCACAAGTCATGCAGGGGTATATTATCTGCTGCCTAGTGACTCAGTCACTCCACCTCTGTACAGTGGGTCCCAGAGGTTGATGTTGTGCAGTCCCAGCTTTGATCATTCTACGTACTGTGGTTACTCGAAACATTCTGCTGGTAATACATGTGCTCTAACCTCTATGCAGTCTTATTTGGAGGATGATGTTGCACAGACTACTTTGTATGCTCCACCTCATTGAGGTTGGGCCCTAGAAAATGATGTTGTGTGGGGTAACTTGGCAAGGGTTGTGTGGGACGTCTCACCGAAATTGTCTTTGGGTGGATGCTCATTCCACCAATCTCAATGTATACCCATGGCCAATAATGCACACTGTATAGATAGTAGATACAAGATTGCTAGTAGGTTTTTCTCACAATAATTTGTTACATCCACATGCCCATTCCAGATCATATTAACCCATGGACTTTCATGGGTAAAGCAGAAGGGGGATTGCTGCAATCCCTTTGATTGAACAAATCAAAGGTGGTCTGCTTTTCAAAATAGAGTTTTTGTGGTCACCCATTGCACTGTCTCTGTTGTCAGCATTCCTCCAGACTATTCACTGCATTTCTCCCCTAATTTCTTCTAGTGGAGTATGAGAGTCCTTGCCACTTTCCTGTTCCTAGGCACTGGCAGAGGTAACCTCCTGAATGTGTTTGCTTTCATTCAGTAGAGAGTAGAGTAGTGGTGTTCTGCTGGTGTAGATGGCATAGATCCTCCACTCGTGCACAACACCTCCCTGCAGTGGGTCCCAGGAGTTGATGTTGCGAGTTCATGCACTCCAGCTTTTGTGCGGTCCTATTTTGAGAAGATGTTGTGTGGAGCAAATGTTGTCCCTTTGGTAGATGTTGCACACAGTGGAACTAGTCCATTTGCCACATTGGCATATTCCTTCAACCTGTCATTCAGATGTCAGGTTTATAGATGACTGGTGTTGATTGTGGATTTGTGCACATGCACCCTGTTTAGTGGACTTGTATGGTAATTTTCTTCTTTCATTCTACTCAACTTGAGGTGAAGATGGTGTGGACCCGTCTTCTACCACAGGTCAGATTATTTATGACCGATGCCGCTTGGTTTTGGACTGCACTTGACCTGCCAAGTATGATCTGTTGTGCCCTAGCCATTTTACACCAAGAGACACATCCATTTTAGCTTTCCCCACCATTTGATCTCTGGGTGAGGACCCCACATTCATTTTTATCCTGGACTACAATTCCAGTGATTTCAATGGGATGTGGGGTCAGAACCACCCATTTTTTTCTTCTGTAATTCATTCGATGTGGTCCTCCAAATATCTGAAAGTTTATGTGACACCTACTACCATACTGGGCAAACTTTATATGTTGTATAGAAGGGGTGCCATCTTTCATGTATGTTCCTCTCCCAACAGGGGTTCACACTCCATGGATGTTCATTGGACACTTTCGAAGGAAGCTTATTTGTATCCCTTGCACTGGTCTCTTCACCATAACAATGTTGGATTTTAGCCATTATGTAAGAAGAGGTAAGGTATCGTATTGGAAGTTATTATTTTCTTACACTGAAAATATATTTCTGATAGGTACTTACTTCCACTCACACTTCCCACCCTTCTCCTCCCCACTTAAAACCAGTGCTTAATTTCTGCCTAATCTTGAAGTGATGATTAGGTAGAACTGAATAGAGGGAGTCACGTTCATCAGGAGGATGTTTCAGGCTCCTATTGGTGGAAGATTGTCGCATGATGATTTACATGTAAAGATGCAGGGAACCACGTTGATAGTGGGGTAAGTAGGAGTTACAAGGCTTTGTGGCATGCCAAAATAACTGTGTATAGATGGCAGCACTGAATGAGAATAACTATTATAAGAGTGGAGGTAAGTACTTATCGGAAATATTTTTTCAGTAAAGGAAAATAATTACTTTCTAAAAATTTTTAAAAAACCAACCTTATAGCAGCATGTATTTATGTATATGTAACTTGTACATGTATCTCTCTGGCCAAAATATAGATAAAAGAACTCTTTTGAATACCCTAACATTGTAAACCCTTTTAATTTTGATAGAGCCTCTTCATGCTGTTATTACTGCTAATTGCTAAGGGCTGGGCTATTACTAGACCAGAACTTACCTGGAAGCCTGTGTTATTCTGTGTTTGGCTACTGTATACTTTTGTTGATGTCCTGCTATATGTGTGGAACATGGTAAGTAAAAAGAACTTAGATTATATTTAATACAGAAGATTTATCACACTTTATAAAAATGATCTGCATATTCTAATACAGTGGTATGTTTCTGTAGATGCTGCCACTGGTGACACGTTTAACACCTGTCTATTCATTGTCCACAACAGAGTATTTAGAACAGCACCAGGTTCCAAAACCATGCCCCAAGCAAATTTGGAGTAACACCCTCATACTCAAAAAACCATTGTAATAAAGCTAGGCATATTTCCTTGTATCATCAGCAAGGTATAAAAAAAGGTTTGAAATTGACAAAGACTCGCAAGTTAAGTTCATCATCTTCCACAACTTGTATTCATTTGCTATTTTCGTGAGAAAAATGACTAAAGAATATGGAATCGTAGCAATCCCATTTGATCACATAGTAGTCAAGCCCTAAGTAGCTTCAGTCAACTCTTGTGCCTTCATTCTACTTAACCCTCATCAGCACATCTGGGGTCTATGTGGACCCCGACAACTTTCTCATTTGTATATCTGTTAACATAATCATTACAAATTTATATCAAATAATGTAATTGTTAAGCAGAAAACATGGATCAGTATGACACCATTGTTTTCAAAACAGGCAGAAAGACTACGTAGCTATAATCTAATATTCGTCTTGAGTCGATGCAGACCCCATACTATCATTGACCATCACTATACATGCAGTTTGTCCTATAGTATATGAAACAAATTTCTAAACATTTATTTCACTATATAGGTTATTGTAGAGGATAATACATCAAAGTAGTACAGTATCATCTGGTCTGTTTGCTTATAACATCATTGTGGTAAGCATGTATGTGCATTTCATTCCTCAACAGGAGTTATCTATAATGACTGCTAATAATGCCCTATTTTATGGAAACCTTGTTTGATAATTGTTGTAAATAATCTGCTTATTGGATTTTTAATCCATAGCCTAGTCTAAGGATATAATTGTGTTGGGGCCTGGTTGGACCCAAGGTGACTCACAACATACACTTTCAGTTTTCTTTGTGTTGTATTTTGCAGTATTGTGGTAATCTTATCATATATTGCTGAATAATACCTTGAATATATGAGTATAGTAAAACATTTTTTGGTACACTGTTTGTATAAGGAATGGTTTAATGCTACTTATTTGTATACTGAGGAACAAAGTAATTATGTAATTTCTTAATTTGTCAACAGATTTATTCTAGAATACATATATTTTTAGTTTGTTCACATCGCATGCTAGCCATAATAAAAGTTGTAATGCAACTGGTTGTTGGAATTTCAATCCAGAGTTTACTATAATGGTAATTTTGTGCTGAAGTCCGGTTGGATCCCAGTTGTTCCACAACATAATTTTTCAAAGATGTGCTGATGAGAGTTAAAAGTGAAGCCAATGTACACTGGAAGGTCTGTTTAACGTCTGTCAATATGTATTGTCCAATATGAACTTCTTCATTCCTTCCTCAAGCTTGTCACAATATAAAGTGCAATGTTGGGCAATATTGTATAATAATGCTATTTATCAGATTGACCACTAATTGTAATAGAGAAAGTAGTTCCTAGAAAAACCAGTGTGCTTGGAGCATCATTCTGATAAAGTGTGATTAACCATCAGTATCAATTAGTTTACTATAGGTGTTAATTTAATTAATATTTTGCAAAATTAATAATATACTATAAGGAGATTATAAATACATATAGTATAGATTATTGAAGTACAGATCATATAGAACATGTTTCCTGTAAAAAAAAATACAAAATGTAGAATTCTTTATAAAGATAATTCAGACAATGTACAATATCTTAGAGATTATATAATGTTTTTGAGCAAGATAATATAGAAGTTACAATAACTTAGAGACCAGAGTTGAAAAGTTACTGGGAAGTATATTTTCATGATTATGTGTAAATAATACAAAGCATTTTATGCAACAGCTCAATCTTTACTTCTAATTATTATAGATGAAGTAAACTAAGTTGCTAGTCTACAAGTTATATTTCTTCTGCATTCTTCAGTTGAAAATAATTCACTGTGGCACACAAGTTACCATGAGTATGTTTATGTTTCCTTGTGGCATGGATTATATATATTATATATTTCTGGCATTTATTTTGAATTAAAATTAATTATTTCAGAAGAAATAATTAATAATCAGGGGTGCTCAAAGATTAAGCAATCCTCCTTCACCCCGTGTGTGGACTAGAAGTATGGCCTTAAATTGAAGAACAGGAAATTAATACAAACAAGCTGTGTAAACTAAAAAAAAAAAGTAATTAAAAACGTAAATGGGCGATATAGGACAGATGGTCCATCAGGGCGGCAGGGATCTCTAAATCCTATGCCAATAATTTTGATGTGTGTGGAAGGGGGGGGGGGGAGTACCCCGAGAAAACCAATCTGTTACCAGTGCCCGGTTAGCAAGAAGAAGTAAGTTGGAAGGGCAAAGTGAAGTCTGGTGCTGGGGGTGGATTATAGTTTAAATTATTTATGGATTCTTCTTATGTTTGCCAGGGTTTTACTGGGGGGTAGGTTCAAGTTCTGGTGTGGTATTGACGGTGTGAAGTTCTCTGTTAGGTGGGTGGAGAGCGCGGAAAAGTTTGTCGGGTAGGTCATGGTCAGGGGAGGTGTCGATTACGAGAGCGTTAGGTGAGTTTGGCAACGATGGTGCAGAAAGTGGGACTGGGCTGAGGGGCAGGTTATTGGTTTCCTTATATATATGTTTCCTTGTGGCATAGAAGTTACCATGAGTATATATATGTTTCCTTGTGGCATGGAAGTTACCATGAGTATATTCCCCCCTATTGGAATCAAGTGATTCCAACATGTGTCTCGTGTAAATCATCATGCATCACCTCTCCATCAATAGGCGCATAGTATATTCACGTGATGCATGTGACTCCCTCTATGCACCTCTACCGAACTATAACTTCTTGTTTGGCAGCACTTGTGTTCGGACATGTTTCTTTTTTTGACAGTTTGAGATACAGTTTCTTTTTGAAGTGGTTATACTTGATAAACTACCCAGTTTTCTTTCGAATTGTCGTAACTAACTCATTATAGTCACCTTTTCTTTTTTATACATTCACAGTTTTGTCGACTCTTGAATTCTGAAGTTAATGTCACCACTTTGGGTGTCTCAATTTCGACATGCACTTTATCTCAGGCCTCAGGTGCAGGCAACCCAACAGGAGATTGAACGTTACATGGGTCAACCTCTAACTCTTAACATTTCCCCCTGAATATATTAAACCTATTCAAACTGATGAGGACTTCCATTGCCTGTTTCCACCTCCTGAATTTGCCGTGCCTTCCCATACTTTTCCTGAAATTCAGTTCAGCCTTCCAGTTTTTTTTTTGTCTTTATCTCTCAGATATGTGATGTTTTATTCCCTTGCCCCTATTTCTTATGCCCTATGTCCTTCCTTTCTGCATGAACATTCTTCCCAACCCTATTTGGTTCTTCCTCCCTCCCTCTGACATTTGGGTCCATGCCAAACAACTCGCCTCCCAGTTAAATGATGGTGTTAGCATGCCTCATCCCCCATGGGCTTCATATCAGTCTGCCCTCGCTTATCATTTTGCAGACTGTCCTTATCTTGACCAGCAATTGTTAGGTTCTTTTTTACCCATTTTGGGGTGGGCCCCAAATCTCATATCAGCTTAACCCATGTCCAATTTTCCTGCCTATGTCTTACCCTCATGACTCTTTTGCAGTATCTTTCCACTATTCATCTCCTATCTGAGGCTCTTTACATAAATCCTGAGGGATTTTATGGGGACATCCTCTCCCTCCTTATTGCCATGTTTGCTCATTTATCATCTTTTACTCTGTCTTTACATACATGGTTTCTCTGTTGTTGGGACCTTCTGGGCTGGGATGCTGTCTTATCAAAGGCCCATTTACCTACAACTTATCTCTTGCATTTACGTATGGCCCCATTTTTATGGCATTTTGTTTTTGATACAATCCCAGAATCTTTAGAATCTCGGGTCGCCTCTTTCTAACAACTGTTTATCCTTTCCCATCTGGTAGCCCATTTGTCTCAGTCAGAGCCAAGTGTGGTAATCAGTACGGTTTCCCATTCTACCCCTTCCCAACCCTTACCTGTCCCCCCCCTTCTCAAGGTACCACAGCTCATCATTTTCCTCAACGGTGCATGTCACGTTGCCAACAGTACCAGTGACTACCCGGAGGACTCGGGTCCAATGGGAACTCAACTTGTGGCCTTTCTCCATCAATGGTGCCCTTTTGTCAATGATGTTTAGGTTCTTCAAGTTTTGTCAGAAGGATTCAAGATCCCATTTCTTGCCCGTCTCCCGTGTCTCCTGTACTCATTTCCTTCCCTGCACCTTAGGATCCCACTGTTTCTCAATGTCTGCCAGAGGAAGTTCATGACCTCCTCACTCAAGACTATTGAACCTGTTCCCCATCATTCACCAGGTTTTTACTCCTGAATATTTGTTGTTCCTAAGAAAACCAGAGACTGGAGGCCTGTCGTCAATTTGTCCCGCCTCAATCTCTTTGTTCATTTTCCCTCTTTCACCATGGAGCCCTATCTCACCCTACAGTGGGCATTTTCTCCAGGTTTAAGGATGACTAAAATGGGTATTGTCAATGCTTATCTACATATTCCAGTCTCAGCGTAGTCTCATCCATATCTTCGGTTCATCCATCGTGGGTTGGTGTACCAGTTCTGCTCCCTACCCTTCAGGCATGTTTCTGCACCTTATGTTTTCTGTCGGGGGTCAAGGCTTTTGCTCTTCATCTTCATGCCCTGGGGCTGCATTTCCATTATTATATGGATGACTGGCTTCTTCTGGCCCATTCTGAACTGGAGTCGGCCAGTCGTACTCATCAGCTCCACCAAGTGATTGCTTGAGTGGGCTGGTTAATCAAATTGGAGAAGTCCTACCCAACACCTTCTCCATTTGGGTATCTTTTTCAAACTCATTTCAGTCGGCCCAACCTTCTCCTCTCTGACTTCATTCCATGGAATTGTTCATTCACCATGCCCAGTCTCCTCCCTCATTTTCTGCATGCAAGATTCTATCACTTTGGGGAATGTGGTTTTCCATGACACCACCGGTCTTCTCAGATCATGCACATATGTGTTCCCTGCAGTGGACTCTGCATGGTCAATGGAACCTTACTTGGGATCCCTTGGCTGCTCCTGTTACACTTCCTCCTTCCCTTATGAATGATCTACTTTCATAGTTAGACAAGACTCTTACATTGGCGGGTGTCCCACTTCCTCCTCATCATCCAGATTTACATTTGCTTACAGATGCATCCCTTCAGGTCTGGGGTACATAGGTCATTCACCAGGAGGCTTTGGGTCATTGATCTGTCAATGAGCAGTCCTTATATATCAATGTCTTCAAGCTTCTAGCTGTCCATTGGGCTTTGGAACACTTCCTACCTCTCAACTGACATTGTCTGGTGATGTTTCATTCTGATAATTTGATGGCGGTATCATATATCAATCACCAAGGTGGCACCTGGTCAAGATTCCTGTTTTCGTATGTTGTATCTCCTCTATTAGACCCATATGCACCACATTCATTTAATTATGTGTCATGTTCTGGGTGCTTTCAATCTTGTGGCAGAGTGGTCCCTTGATCCTCTCATTTTCTGGTGACTTTGCAATTGTTGGGGTTTTCTTCACATTGATGCATTTGCCACTACCCTGAATTACAAATTACCCCAGGTGCCTCATCTTCAGGCTTTAGCTATTGATACCTTCAGCCAAGATTGGTACCACAAATTCCTATATGTTTATCCTGCTATCTGATTGCTTCATTGGGTGGTTTCCCTGTTTCATACTGTTCCGTGCCAGATCCTTCTGATAGCTCCATATTGGCTGACTCAACCGTGGTTTCCTCATTTACACCAACTCTAATTATTCCATCCTGTACCCCTTCTCTTATTTCCTGCCCTCCTTCACCAACCCCAATCACTGGTTATACATCCCGCAGTTCACATCCTGTCTTCATGGTTTGCTTTTGTCCAGTCCTTGGGGAGGAGATCAGGTTTCTCCTGTCATGTAGTTTTCCATTTGGCTCAGTCCATACATCCTTCTTCCATGGAGGCATATCAATGGACGTGGAAAGTCTTTCAAACCTGGTCACATGCTTGGAGAATTCCAGCAGCTTGACCTACTGTGGCTGATATGTCCGAGTTTCTGACACATTGGTCTCCTTAATATTGGGTTATCAGGCAGTCTTGTCCATACCTTTCATCTTTCTTGTTACCGTAGAGTCTTTGATTCACCTGTCCTTACCATGTTAATCCATTCCTTCTGGATAGGTTGTCCTTTCCAACAACCTACTCTTCTGGGAGGTTAATGTGGTCATCCATTCCTTTAAGGCATATTTCCTTCTTTTCGCCTGTGGTCTTGACAGTGATGACATGTTTGCCATCAATGTTACATGCACACTTTACCACCATACCATCTTCTTCTTTATCCGGATCATTCCTTCCTGCTTTGTGAGGGTAACTCTTAATTTTCACCTATTTCCCTTCCCTCTATCTCTTATCTCTACCCTCGTCCCAATCCAGATAGACTTCTATGTCTGGTGTTTGCCCTTCATTGCAGTATTGCCCACATGGCTTCCTCCCTTGGTTCCAGACTCTTTATCCCGTGGCAATCTTCTTCATGTAGTGATCTATTCCCTTCAACTTTCACCAGTTGGATTTGTTGTTTGATACAGTTGGCTTATTCCTCATTATCCCCTTCCCACAGCAATTAGTTCTGAGGTACTTCTCATCAAATTCAACACCTCACTTTTTCCTTCACTTGTCGGTCATTGGAGGAAATACTACAATCGGGCATGTGTAACACATCTAACACATTCATCTCCCATTATTTACATTGTATTGCAGTTTTGGCTTCCACCTGTGGCTTTTCTTCAAGCTTCGGTGTGATTCTAAGACTAGGTAAGTCTATATTAATGCTTTGTTTTAATTCAGGGGCCCATCCTTCATATCTTAGTTCATGAATCCTGATCTGTGGTGAGTGGTGCCTGGCCAGGTATTCTAAAATTCCAGATCCGCACTGTACAGCTATCTTGAGTCGCACTTTGCATTCCATGACTTTGCAATGCTTACCATTGAGTTGGGGTGTTTCACAAGATCGCTTCAAGGTGAATAATCTCACGATGTTTGCTTCATAAACTTGCCCATTCCAGACCATACCACTCATTGACTTCATAGGTAAAGCAGAAGAGGATAGTTGCCCATCCCTGCCTTGCCTTGATTGAATACATTGGGATGGTCTGCTTTTGAAAATAGGGTTTCATAATCACCCATTGCACTGTCTTGGGCGATGATGTTCCACTGGACTCTCCTACGCATTTTCACACCCTTTCTTTAAGTGGAGTATGGAAGTCTTTACCACTTACCAGTTTTAAGCTGCAGGGGTGATCGACTGTGGAGGCACCCTGCTGAATGTGTTCCACACAAAACAGACAATACCATTCAGTACAGAGTAGGGTGGTGGTGTTCTGTGGGTGTAGATGATGTTCTATCCTCCAATATGCATTATACAATTATTAGAGTGAGACATTGATTTGCAGTTCACCCCTTTGATTAGAAGCCCTCATCCTACCCCCACATGTATGTCGGTACCCTGCAGCTGGGTTTTGGATTTAGAGTGAACAAATCAGCATAAGTCCTCATGCATGTTCAAGGTTGTCTGTCTTCCTCCCTTGATTGTTCTCCCCTGTGTTGTGGATCACAGCAGGAGTAAGGGGAATTGTTCTGGTAATGTGCTTTGTTATCTCTCATGTACCTTTGTCCGAGGATGTTATTGCTTATCAGATGATTCCGGTCGGTTGGGGGAGTAGATTTTGTTTACATAGACATCCTTTTGATAATGGATGTTGGAATAACATGTCATGCTCTGGGATTAGAATGGTTTTAGATTCGCTCCAGTCTCTGGGGCTTGAGGTGAAGATGGTATGATCCTCATTCTACTCCCCAAGTGGATTTCAGTTCCCAGCAGCATGGGTTTTAGATGTAGTTGACTGACTAGCCACTCTACACAATGGGGTTTATCCTTTGTTTACCCACTTTTCTGCATGGTGGGATTGACTTGCATATATTTACTTAAGGATTCAAATAATTATCCTCCCTCAATTCTCTCCCACTTGGATGTGCTCCTCTCCTTTTTCTGCCCTATTTCTCTACTCTTTGCAGATGAGCAAAGAAGATACCTGGTCAGAAATGGTGCAATTCCCCTCTTCGGATCCTACTCTCTTATCTACAGAGGTATCCTTCAGATGTTTTCAGGGAGTACGTCTGTTCTTCCCTTACACTGGGCCCTCCTCCTAATGAATGTGGGATTCTAGCTAATCTTGTGAACAGAGGGGAGTACTGTATTGGAAGTTATAATTTTCCTATACTGCATATGTATTTCCACTCACACTTCACGCCCATCCTCCCCTCCCCCCCTTTTCCGGTGCTTCTATCTTCTGCCAAACTTTGAAGTGATAGTTTAGTAGAAATGCATAGAGGAAGTCACTTGCATCATATGAGTATACTATGCTCCTATTGGTGAAGAGACGACACATGGTGATTTACATGAGAGACACGTTGGAATCACTTGATTCCAATAGGGGGAGCGGAACGCTTGTGGCATGTGTAACGAAAAAGTTTGCTTATAGAGGGCAGCAATGAATGAGAATAGCTAATCTTGTGAGAGAGGAAAGTACCTATCAAAAATACATTTTCAGTATAGGAAAATTATTACACTTCTATATCTTTTTTAGTGTTAATTTTATTATCATTCCATACTTAATGTGTTTCTGTTATTAGATCTTCTCATTTGTGTACATTTCATAAATAAACATTGATTGTTTATGTTTATAACTTCTTATCATGCATGCAGACTGAAGTGGACGTTATTGAAGACATTGATGAATATCAAACATTTCCTGGCTGGATTATCATCATCTTCCGTCTTATCATCATGACATGGTTTCTGTATGAATTGAGGTCCACTATGTTAGAAGAGAATGACAGGGCTAAGCTACGCTTTTATCTACATTTTGGAGCTGGGATCTTAGTTTGGTTTGTTTACCTTCCAATTGTTGCTCTAATTGCCCTTCAAGTTTCTGCCCTTTGGAGACAAAAGCTTCTACTTGGTAAAAGATTAATTTGATTTTGTTTTTTCCATACAAAAAGTAGTTGTAGTATCAAAATTGTAATTTCTTCTAACTTTTAATTCATTAAACTTACAGCCAAACATTCTATCAATTAACTCATTGCTAATTCCTTACCTTCATTAAAGTCTGTATTTTTAGCAGTTACCTAGTTTTTTAATTCAACAAGTTCATTCTAGTATTTATTTTAAATAGTTACAAGTTTGTTCCTGTCTGCAGCGAAATAATTTCACTTTATAAGAACATTACTTTAGACCCCATGTTATCCATGAAACCACTCCCTTCATAATCAAACAGTCTTCATTATTTAAAAATATTGCCTTACACTGCACTGTCTGTTGTAACAAGCTTCTGTGAAGAATGGCAAGGTTTGACAAACATTTGGTTTCAAGGTGTAGCTGGAAACTAGTGAACTTTTGACTTATGAGTCTTTATCAACTTCAAATCCTTATTAATTATCTGGTTAATTGTATCAAGAAATGTACCCAGCTTAGTCAGTCACAAACCCTGGTAGTGATTCTTAATAGAGATTGCCCATTTTTTCTTCTTTATTATTATTTAATATTGTTCCACCAGCCTACGGCAAAAATGGCTATGAGTATTGTAATAAAACCTGTGCAGTATTACTAAATGCATCATTGCTCATTGTTTAGGATAGTTTTTAAGTTTATTTGACTACCTAGCAGATAACAGCAGCTGTATAACTCTTGACACCCAATCATTTTAATCTAGTCTGTGGTTTATATGGAGCCTCATAATCTAATATACATGCATATGTATATAGCTGCATGCAGACTGTGGATGTAATTTAATGTTTATATAGCAGGTGTGACACATGTACCAAAGCAATTATTAATTTATTGTTGCAACTGTATAGATGTTGCATATCGTTTATTATAATGTTCATGCCCTTTCAGATATGATGCTGCTGACAGGATCACAGTTTCTATTATGCTATGCTACACAAATGTCTAGGCTATCTCCCACAACAGAAATCTTTGAGCTGTAGTTTAAAAAATAGCACCAAGCTCAATTTTGAGCATCTGATCAGCAATCACTGTGATGGCTGATGGTAAGTGTCAAATTCTAGCCAACACTGGGTGATTGCAAATTTTATAGATACTGCGGATAGAGTAGTCAACCTTGAAGCTTATTTGTATACATACACTACTATATTTTGACACGGTCTTATATTTGCATTGAATATGCATTCATCTATAAAACTTGAAAAATTCATATGGTTATCTATATATATGGCTTTACAACTTAAAAAAACTATAAAGCCTAGCCAACATGCATGTATAAAACTCATAGCTACAAAATCCAGTCCACATCATTCCAGTATAGTTCAGTATTCCCTCCAATCTAGTGTTGACAGACTTCCCAAATAGCTACAGGGTAAAAGTAAAGTAGCTATATACAGATTAACCCTCTGTATTTCAGCCATTTTCTCGTATCAAATTCAATATCTTTATTGCAGTCTATGTTTTTAGCTATTACATGTTTGATAATTCATTTTCTAATAGCTATCTGATTGTTGATTCATTAATTTCATTGCTGTATATTGCTGTTTGTTAATTTATTACCTTCAGTTTTTATTGTTTCTATTAATCCAGAAATTGTTAAGGCTTTAACTTCATTTTCATTTTCTATTTTTCAAGCAGTTATTTGGTTACTAATTCACCAGTATTTTACAAGTGAAGGAACTCTAATGCAATCCTTTAAAAAATTGGTTTTTACATTAACTAAATGTTCATCTGAGAATTGTTTTTTAGTAATACACAACTCTAAATTTTCTGGGAAGTACTATTACTCATTGCTAACTAATATCCAATATTGACTTTTTTTTTTTCCAAACCTAGGAGGGGTGTAGGAAGTTGTAGGCTTTAGTTTTAAATGATGAGTGAGTAGTTGATGCTCTGTCATTTATCACTTATTCATCATCATCTGCTCAAAGCAGGTAGACTGTCATGGAGCGTCATTGTTCTCTTCTTTTCACCATTCTAACACAGTTACTATATGATGTTCCCATCTAATCTTTGACGTTATCCATCCACATATTTCTTCCTCTTTTCCCATCCGTTTTTCCTTCTAGTAACAGTCCTTGTATTCCATTTCTTCTCATTATACATCCGAAGTACTCACATTTTTTTTTTCTTAATAAATGAGAATAGTGTTCTTTTAGTTTCCATCATTTCTATTACTTGTTCATTCGTCTTATGTTCTGTCCAAGATATTTTCAGTACTCTCCTATAGATCCACATACCAAATGCCTCGACCTTTTTAGCAATTGCTTTGATATTGTCCACGTTTCAGTACCATATAGTATGGTTGACCACACATAGCATTTGACTAGTCTCATCCATGTTGTTATGTTAATGTTTCTTGCTGTTAATATTTTTGACATGTTGTTAAATACACTCCTGGCTATTCCTATTCTCTCAAAATTTCCACTTCGCTCTTACCATCTTCAGTGCTCGTGTGTCCTAGATATATATAAAAAAAATTTATTTGTTCAGTTGCTGTTCTCTCTATAGTTAGATTGATTCTAGATAGATCTTTGTTCTTAGCTACTACCATTGATTTGATCTTTTTAGTATTCATCTCTATACCATAGCCTTTTCCTTTTCATTTACTTTGTTTACTAACTCTTGTAGATCTGATACACTTAGAATTAGTACTTCTGTGTCATCTGTATATCTTAGGATGTTGATGTTAATTCCACCGATCACTACTCCTCTTATATATATATTCTATTTCTCTAACTATTTTTTCTGTTTATAGGTTGAACAAACTAGACTAAATACACATCCTTGTCTTATGCCTTTCTTGATCTTAAACTCTGGTCTTACTCCCTGTTCTGTTCCTACCACTGCTGTTTGTTCCCAATACATCTTTGTGGTGATCTAGAGATTTTTCTTTGTCTATCTCCCTTAAGCATTCAGTCATCTTTAAGTGTTTTACCTTATCAAAAGCCTTAGTGTAATCTATGAAGCATATATATATACATTTTGTTGGACTTTTATGGCACATTCACAGATTGTTCTCAGTTTAAAAATACCTTCTCCTGTGCCACATCCTGGTCTGAACCCAATCTGTAAGTTGCTTACTTCCTGGTCTGTTTTAGTTGCTATTTGTTGCTGTATTACTTTCAAGAGTAGTTTGGTGGTATGACTCATTAATGTGACTGTTCTAAAGTCTGAAAAGTTATGTGCCCTGGATGTATCATACATCTTGCTGCCATGCCTTTGGAGCCATTGGTCCAAACTGTTGAGATTCCTCTGTCTCCTCTAACATTCTAGTCTTTGTGCATTTAAGGGTTGATGTCCCCTATACAACAGTCTTTGGGTAAACTGCTGATACCCTCCACTTAGTTTTATTCACCAGCTGAAGTAAGGTACCGTGATGTGGCCATGAATGAGAGTTATGTAGTTGTGGGAGACCAGTGCTCCTATTCACATCCATCTTAACAAAAATGTGCAGCATGACAGGTTTACAAAGGTACTACTACTCACACACCACATTATATACCATTATTATTACAGATTATTATGCTAAGAAAGACCACTATGCCACATGGCTTATTTTTAACAAGGTCTTAGTTTTTGTATTTCAGCAATTGCATTTAGCATCATTATGGCTCAAACGTGTATCAGAAGGCATTTAGAATTAGAAATTGTAATATTGTTTTGGAATTCTTGGAGCTGAAATGTTTCAGTGCTGTTTTGCTGCTGCCTTTGGTGTGAGCCAAAGTTTTGTTTCCTATTCTTGGAAGCAACACATTTCCCTGGAACTGTAAAAAGAAAAGCATGCTCATGGCTGAACATAATTGCTTCCTGACCAAACAGGCTAACCTAGACCTTTTCCAGCTATTACCAATTCTGGGGTGACCTTCAAATTGCATCAGATATTCGTGTCTACTGAAACTGACTATAATAGGCTCAAGGAGTCTGGTTTGTGGCCATGGAAAGCTTGCATTAGAATCCTGTAGATCCAAGATTACCAATGCTTTTCTTAGATGAGTCTTTTTTTTTTTTATCTTGACTCCACAGAGCGTGGAGATGATATTGTAAAAGTTATCGCAGCTTACATAGATGTGTACAACCTTTAAGGTGATGAGTTCATCATGATCCATGTTAAGACTGATCTCCATATATCACAGAATGGGTGTTTGACAGCTGTGCAGTACAGGGATGAGATCCTACATACTTGCATGACGATGTACATTGATGATAATTTCATCCTTATGGATTACAATGTCATCTATACTGTGCTCAAGACTTGCAGGTTTCACCCTTAGGGGGAAACTACTATCTGCAAGAATCATCCAGCAGGCTATATTAAATCTTTCTCTTTTCTCATTTCTGCCTGTGTAAACCACTGGCTAAAGGAACAAATTATCTTTATAAGACTAACTCTAAATGTTTGTTCTGGTTGAAAAGTTTTTGTTTTGTTTTTCAACTTTTATCAGCTTTCTCTACATTCTTGGTTATTATAATTTTATTAATTCTAATTTGCTCTGTAATTTCAGTTGTATATTATAACAATGATGAACAAAACCTTTCATACATGAATTTGTTATATTCTGATACATTGCCTAGTATCACTTACATTTGAATATTTTTTTTTATTCGTGATTCATTTAGTAAATTGTATAATGATTTTGACAGGAATAACTTCCAGTGCAGATTTTCTAGCGTATGCCATCATGACTCACTTGTTATGGCCAACCCGCAGTGAGCAATATTTCCAGCTTCAAACAGACTCGGATGTAGGGGAGGAACTGGAGGAATTCAATGAAGCTCCTCACAATATTCCCAGACCCCAGAAAGTGTAATCTTGTAAACGGGGTAAACTTCCAAATATTCTATAATGCTGTATTATAATATGTATTTCTCATATAAAATAGATGTGGAGATGCTAGTTTTTAAAAGCACATGTTGCTGAAAGAAGTTATTGAGGTTAAAAAAAGAATAACATGGCTAAGGTTGAACATCTATGGAACATGGCTATATAAATTCAGTTTAATTAAATTTTCATATTAGTCAGTGTCATTGACCCCATATGTGCTCAGAATAACAGTTCAGTTACAGCAAGTACTAAAAGTATTCCAAGTTCATCAAAATCTTTTTTTATATTTATGTAATTAGTTCTAACATAAGATTGCTACTTTAAATTTCAGAATTATTTATTGTTCATTTTACAATTGTGAATATACGTTTTTCACTAGTAAATTTAATCTCAAACTTGATAAAACATTTACAGTATTTGGTAGTTATGTGTTCAATTATTAGCCCATTTTTTATTCTAAATCTTATTGTATACTTATGGTGAAGTGAGATGTTACTGTGGATAAAGGAAGATGCCAGTTTGGCTCATTATATTCTTTAAGATCTCTAATCATATTAAAAACCTCATTTTATATAAAATGAAGTTATATAACCAGTGACTTGTAAATGTATGTGAATTAGAGTATTTCATACAGCACTATTAATAGCACATTAACATGGAGTTGGTACTTTAAAATTCTATAGAATCTTTAAGAGTGTCAATCTGTAATTACTTTAAAGGATGATGTAGTGTAGTGTTTCTCTGTAGATTCAATGTATGATAAACAGCGCATCTGTAGTTAGTATATATCTCTACTTATTGGTGTTCAGAAATGGGCACCTTTACCAATTTACTGCTATTATTGTAATGCTTCTCAGACATTGTTATAACTACAAAGTAAGAAGCAAGTGTTATATATATCATCTTAACTTTAAAACTGTACTTCTCTGATCAAACAACGACTTTATCAGACTGTTTCTCGGTTGCTTTTTTTTTTCAGTGTTTACTTTGAGTTTTTCTTTTCACAAATATTCCTACAGTTCAACCTAAAAAAAATATTCTTGAACATTGGTAATGTGTTGGACTGCACATTTCTAAAGAGTTTGAAACATAATTTAGAATTTCTGTGTTCTGTGTTTTTAAAAGTAAAGCTGTGTTCTCACTTTAATGGTTATATAATCTATTTTATTTAAAATGTGAATGTTATTACTTTAGAATACCTTGAATGGAGGTGTATTTGTGGGTAGTAAACCAGTTTTACAACAGTATATATGTCCTTATTATATATGTATATATGTCCTAACTAGATGTGACTGTAGTACATAATTTTTGCTTTGATGATCTAGGTAAAATATGTAAGTATTATAGAGTTTGAAGGTTTTAACATTTACCATCCAAAAGTGTTATACGTTTTTTATCTAGTTTGTATGTAGGCGAAGCAGGATTTCTGTAAACTTTTTGAGAAGATTATACTAAACAAGACATCAATAGAAAGTATTGGTTAGAATAAAAAGTAAATTGTCTGTGCTCAACTGGCATCTTTTATACATAATTCTTAGTTCTGGAAAACCCTATTGGTTGAATTTTAAACCAATAGAGTGGATGAAACATAAGCAGTCATTAATGATGTTTCTGGTAACTTCTATTAACCATCTGCAAGCCAGAAAGCTGCTTAGGTTGTCTTGTGTAATAGGGACGTAACATGACCATTGTTGAAACTACAAGAAACAGTTGTGAAATCACTTCAGATGTTCTATGTCACCAAAATTTGATTGTAAATGGAGGATTATTTGGTTTAACTTTATGGTGGCATACCAAAGGTTGCTTATTCTAAGCCCATAACTCTAGTGATGATGAGTTTTCTGATACTGTTGTAGAAGACCTCCTTCTAAAATTTATCAGTGGCTGAGTTTTATGTTCTTTATATCATTTCTCTAGTATATGTCTTATGAAATAATCACTAAGTATTGTAAATGATTTTTTTTTTTTTCTGCTATGGGTGGTTTTTATTTCATCAGTACAAGTATTGACTGTTGGGTTCTGTAAGAAATTCTTTGGTCTTTCACATTGAACTTCTTGGCTGTATCTTTTAACTTTCACTCAAATCATTGAAAACTTTAAGTGATATATGATATGTCCAAACAGAGAAGGTAGAATCAAGACTAGGAAACTGGTGATATAGAACAGGATATTACCAGATGGAGAGGAACTCCCTGTTTGTGTATCTTATGAAATCATAGAGCTGTAGAGGAAAACTATATTGGAACTAAAATTTAAGATTCTTGGTTGGTCTTGTTTTTTTTTATAAATTAGTCAGTCATTTTGTTTGGTTATGTGTGCTTTCATAGTAATTTGTATTATCCAGCAAACTTCAGCTTTGGGGTGATAGCTGAATGTTCAAATATTATTATGCTATTGGTGTTTTTTGCAAGTACAGTCATGACACCAGGGTTTGTGGCTCTCATATCAGGTTTGGTTAGGGTAGGTTTACTATCCTGAGAATATAGCAAGTATGGAATCTGAATTATTCTGCTTCATTCTAAGTTAAGTTGTAGTACTTGGAAGGTGGCATGGCAAAGTTAAGATTTATTCATGTGTGGTTTGTTGAGGTAACTGCTGTAATCTTGTTTTTTTTCACACATGTATATAAGGATATGTAAGGCTCTGTGGAAACTTTTATTTAAAAATATTATATTGGGAGTGTCAGAGCCTAGGTTTTTACTTTGTTTATATATCATAAAGTTTTCAAACTTCAGAACAATTTAAAAAGACAGTGTTTCAGGAAGTATGAATTATGAAGTTACCAGTTTAACTCAGGTAATTACTGCTCATTCTAATCATTACTTTCCATGGAATTACAACCTAAATCTTCTAACAAGAAGATTTCCTAAGGTTTATGGTGAAATCTATTTGTAATTTCACATGTATTTTAAAACTATGCAGTGATTGAACATTATTATTATTACATTTGATTTCCTTAATGAATCAGTTAAAAGTTCCATTATAAGTAAGTGCTTACTTGTGCACAAAAATCTAGTCATATACCAGTACTACTCAAGAATGGCATTTTGATCTGTGATATGCAAGTCTTTTTTAATTGTTTCATAATTTATATTGGCATGTTAAAATAAACTGTGTATTATATTATACTGGCTTTAAATGAGTTATGTACAAGAATAATAAAATTGCTTCTTGCGACTTGCATGATAGTTAGTGTTGTGATGATAAATGTAACTGTCTTTCAAACTACAAACATCCAGACTTTTCATCACCATTCACCAAACATCCTTACACAATACCATGTTAAAGTAATCTAAAATAAAGTTTAGATCCACTATTACAGAACAACACCAAATTTATATTTATTTGTTTCTGTCACAAACAAACATGGAATTGCAGAGGACTCATGAAAGTGTTAAACTTGTATCCATATGAATTTGGTGTTGTTCCCTAATAGTAGATCTTAACGTTATTTTTTCAAAAATTTAGCTTTCTCTTGAGATCTGTATAAAAATAATTAATTTTTGCCCCAATAAAAAAGTTATCTTGCTGTACACTATAGCATTCACTTACTATTCACAGTTTATACATTTCATAAGGTATGTCTGTAATATATATAATAGATGGTAAATGAGAGATATCTGACACATTGGTCATGATGACAACTCTAAACCAACATCAGAAAAAATTAGAATTAGAACTTGAAATTGGTAAGGTTGAATTTCTTCTGTAACTTGAACAAAAATTCCATGTGATATGATATATATTACCATTAACAGTCAAATGTTTTTTTCTGAATTTAAGTTTTGTTTTATAAATTTGTAAAAATTACCTATTTTCTTTTGCGTTTTATGGATATAAAATCAGTTTTTATTATAATTAACTTACAGATATATTTGATTTAATACACTTTATTATGTGTCATCATGTGTGATTCTGTTACTGTACACTTTTAGCATGAAATGTGTTATTGCAGTTTCTGGTATTTTTCAACAAATCCTGCAAGATAAAATATATTTTTCAACAAACAAGGTGAAGAAAACTTATAACAAGGGTTTTGACAAAAAAAAACAGTTTCTTTAACATGTTTTAAGCTGTATTTGTTTTTCTTTTTTTTAATACAGAAAAACCAATTAGTCAAGCTTTAAAAAGTTTCACACTAAAATTTATTATATGACACAGTGTCCAACAGGTCTGGACAGGTGTCTGATATCCTGTTTTTACATATAATATATTTTCAAAATAATGACCAGTTGTGTTTTAGAACATCTCTAAATGATCTATTTACTTTGTTCAATAGAATAAATCTTTAGCACAAGTAGCTATATGGGCTTTCAGGTACAGTACCCAAACATTTCTGACACACTGTATGAAAATATTTACAGCTGAGATGAGCCAAAATAATTTTTTTTGTTTTCGTATTTTATGAAATTGAAAAATCAGACAATTTATGAGAGAGACTAGCCTGCATTCAATTATGCACAAAACTTCAATTACTCAAGTTCTGACACACTGTATGAAAATATTTACAGCTGAGATGAGCCAAAATATTTTTTTTGTTTTCACATTTTATGAAATTGAAAAATCAGACAATTTATGAGAGAGACTAGCCTGCATTCAATTATTCACAAAACTTCTATTACTCAAATTCTTTTAAACCTTTTATCTTACAACAATGTAATAGTAGTAACTGCTTAGTGGTTATTATTAGAGCCATTATGTTTCCAAATTAATTTGTAATCTAATAAAATGCAAACGTTTTAAAATAATACATTTTTTGCAGTTTTGTTCACTGATTATTTTGAGTTACTAAGTAAATAAACATAATAGATCTAGTTGGCAATCTTCAGTTTTTAACCCTCAAATTACTGGCCTATTTATATACCATTTACTGCTAGAGGGGATATACTTATTGCATCACACTGAGTACATCTTATGTTTCTACCTATTACAACATGCAGTATAAAGCATTGACCAAACAAATTGGGCAGAATCACTCACTTGCTAATGCAAAGTACATAGGAAACCCAGAAGTGGAATTAGTTATAACATATTGTTGGTAATTTTGTAATTTTTTCTTGTATGTTCTCAGGAACCCTATAATCAACAAGATGTTTGACCCAAAAATAGTTTAGAATGATGTGTTTAAAAATCTTCACTGGTAATTTTAGGATTAAACACTAAAAATAGTATTATAACTAAAAACATTTTTGGAGATAATGTTAGTCGTATATTTGAATTCAACTCCATCATATTCTCAGTTTATAAAGTTAATCAGGTGAATGTAACAATTTAAACACTTACTGAAATTAATAATACTGAATGTATAAATTAAAACAGCTTATTAATTTGAGGTATTAATATATAAATACTAATTTGTTGTATATTTTAAATAACCAATTATTAATGTTAGTGCTATTAAACAATTTTATGTAAATATAAACAACTGTTGGATCTCTAGTATGTAGCAAATTATAAATATGTAAAATGTTCAACTAAGTAACATCTGTTTGAGGCTATAATATTAATTGTTTTTATGATTTGTGCAAATTATTAAATCGAAAGAGTTCTGTACAGCTTTCGTGACAAAGTAAATAAGTTGGATAGTTGCCCAAATCTTAAACTTATATTTTAAATTGGTGAAGTGAAACAAGTTATACTTCCATATAGCAAATGTTGTTGTAAGCTATATTTTCAATCTTATAACTTAGTTGTTTGCTAGAGGGAGCTGCTAATCAGGATAATGACACTAGATATAGAAAGTCCATAAAAGTGGTCATAGAGTACCTAGAAAATTCATGATTTTTAATCTAGAAATTTTGTAGAATTTAGAGAGAACAAAAGAGTACATTATACATACAAGTAATCAGTGTATAAAGATTCAATGTTAATTCAGTGAAGTAATCAATAAGTGTTTCATTTCTGTTCTGCTGTTCAGCTCTGTATTTGCTTATTGATCAAAGTTAAGCAAGTTAGGTGTATGCACCATTAGTGAGGAATTCCTTTTTGTGAACTTAAGCCTACAAGTTATGTCAAAGTGAACATAGTCTGTAGCAATCTTTACAGAAGAAATAAATTAATTTATCTTTACATGGACTGGACTTTGCATCATTTTTACCAAATAATCCAAAATAACCTGTTGAATGAAAGAATGTTACAACACTGGTATCAGAAATGGGATTATTTTGGTAAAAATACAATAGAACTTTGATTAATCTTCAACTTTTAAAGTAAAATAGGAAACCCACTACAGATAAGACAATGGAAAGAAAAGCAAACAGAGATACAGCATTAAAAGAAGGCCATGGAGAAAGAGATAGGAATTTACGAGATGAGTTAAAAAAGAAACATAATATTTCAAAAAGAATTTAAGAAAAATTAAATCTGATTGAAGATAAATTGATGAAACTATTGGAAATGTAGACAGGGATTACAACAAAATTAAAGTACAGAAAATCTGTAATGACAAAATCAAATAAGTATAAAAAGTTATCATTGATGTAGAAAAGAATATCAGTTACAAAATAAAAAATCTGTAAAACAAATTGGTAAACATAAAGAATAAATAAATCACACCTCGTTCTGCATATACCCAAGAATTTCAACCTAAAACACCATCTACTACAAAATTTGGAGTAGGAGAACTTATTTCATCTACATCTATTACCAATTCCTGAAGTATGACACTATGAAATCCAGTTCAAGAAGTTAGCTAGCCAACTAAACAACATCATGTAATTGAGAAAACAAAGCACTATGATGGAAAAGTTCCATGAGAGGTATATCAGGCTCAATTAGAAATAATTTTCAGAATGAAAAGATGGAACAGTGAACAACAAGTTATTCATCTTGCTGCCCATTTAAAAAGACCGGCTTTAACAACATTAAGTAACCTTTAAACTGAGAGCAGTAACAAACAAACACTGATAGCTACCTTATCAAATAGGTCCAGAGTGACACAACAAAAAGAAGTATCCAGAGCAGAGTACAGAGGTAAGACAGACCTTAGACAAACTTGCAGAAGATTTATAAAGTCTTGCCCAATTATCTTAGTTAGATGTCATAACATATAAGGATATGAGAATTAGGTTGAAGCACAGGAAGTATATATATTTAAAGGAAGCTCTCCTGTTGGTGATAGAACTTGAATCTATTAAAGTCACAGATAAACAACTAAAGTTACCACCTAGAAGTTACTGGAATATCAGATCTAGTAGTATTGAAATATCAACTTCTTCTGATAATAGTGCAGAAAATAACTCCTCCCAGACAGTGTCAGTAAAAGGGAACTGTTATAGATGTGGGAAATCTATCCATTACAGCTAAAACTATGAGGAATCAAATGAAGAAAAAAAGACAAACCAGAAATTGGAAAACAGAAATTAGTTGGATTTAAGGACCAAAGTTCAGCTAAGAATACCCATCTCCTACAAATGAGATAAGTTCATTATTTAAAGAAACCATTTCATAAATTTATTGATATGTAGCCTTGCAGTATTTTGATAGACTCTGGTTTCACAGCTACAATAGTTTGATTCATTTTGTAAAGAAAAGTGGAAAACTGCCTCCAACAATGAGGAAAACAAAATTAATTGGTTTGAACAGCAATTGGACATAAAAGTTTCAGCAAGAAAAAATTTAAAATTACCCTTACTGTAGGAAGCTTCTCTACACCTCATGATGTATGCGTAATTAACATTGAGGAAGATTGCATGTTGGGAACTAACTTCATGCAAAGTTAGGCTAGCTTCAAATAGTTTCATAGTCTTCGATGTGTTCGAAGGAAAACGAAG